TTCCATCCGATCTACGGTTTACCCGACTTGGGTACACCCTTTTTTTTTTAGACTCTGCCCGACCTTTCTTCCTTTTCCCGACCTTTATTCTGCCCGACCTCCAGACCTTTTGGCTTTCATTCAGACCCTACCCAGAATCCTACTGCCACTTACTATTATTATTATTTTTTGTGCTTAACAATAAGCCTCCTCCTCAAGACTCCTAAACATCACTTCCAGTGATGTTTTAGGAGTTTGCAGGCCGGCATCCGAGGCTACGTCAACCTCAGATCCGACCTCCATCCTTCGAGGCTACGTTGGACCCGACCTCCATTTATCGCGGAATGGTGCTGGCCTGGACGTTGGTCGATCTTGCACTAACATTGCTTCAGCATCTCCCCCCTGACGGAAGTCATGATTAATTTCTGTAAAAAAGGATTCTAACCTTCTTGTTGTGGATGCTAAACTGGCCAGATCTTGAAAATCGTGGGCTGTCAGGGCCTCGCGAAGTCTGGTATGCATGTTCCTGACCACCAAATTGGTCATTTCGCTTTCATTGATCATCGTAGGACATCGTCCCTTCATCAATCGCATCCTCTCTATGAATTGGTAGCCGGTCTCTTCCGGCATCTGCGTGATCTCCAGAAGGTCTATCAGTGAGACTGTCGGCAGAGGATTAAAGAACCTTCCATGAAAATCTGCCTCTAACTCTTCCCAAGTTTGCAACTGTCCAGGCGGCAGACTGACATACCAAGAAAAAGCTGTTCTTGTGAGCGACAACCCAAACAATTGTAACTTGTGAAACGGATTGTTGCCTACTTCTCCCAATTGAGCCGTGAAGCGACCCACATGCTCAATGGTAGAGGCTCCGTCTTCTCCCGAAAAAGAATAGAAGTCTGGTGGCCTATAATTTCTCGGGAGAGGATGATCGTTAATGATCCTTTCTGGAAATGGCCTCTGGTAAACCGGCCTGTTCACCGTTTGCGGATTCATTCCGAAATGCACCCGCAGAACTTGAGCAATATCCTCCGGATCTACTCTGGGTGGAATATGGTCGAACACTGGAATGTGATCGTGAGTCTGACCTCCCAATCTTTCTTCTCTGGAGAAGGCTGGTTCGGCTGGGATGGGATTATGAGTCTGTCCCTCCAACCTTTCTTCTCTAGAGAAGGCTGGTTCGGTTGGAATGGGATTATGAGTCTGTCCTCCTAATCTCTCATTCGGCTGGGTATTATCAACCCTCGGTCCCAAAGGAACATTATCTGGGAAAGTTAGAGGAATCTTCCCCATATCTGTTCGGTTGAAAGTTGTAACGCTTGGAAACGTACTGTCAACGTATGATGGTTCTGCAAACGTTGATCCTGAGAAAGTCGCCTGAAAACGAGAAGGTGACACGGCTGGAAGCATGTTTGGATACAGGGTGAATCTGGAGAATGCCTGATCCAACATGTTTTGCATTAGATTTTGTTGTTCACGCAACATGCTCGTTTGTTGCTCACGCAACATATTCTGCATAACCAAAGTATGCTGGTTGTTCATTTGTTGAACATAAGACCACCAATCAGTTGGTGGTTGTGGGTTTTCCCCGGCATTTGGCACAATAGGTGGTGGAACGGATTCTCCCGCCGGTGCCGAAGATGATTGCGGTTGTGAACCTGCCATATGGACCCTTCCGATGATTCGGCCGGATCTAAGACGTATGAAATTATCGCCGGAATTGGAATGAGCAATTGTGTCTTGCTCCCACTGTGGTCGCCAATTTGTTGATGTAATTTTTCAACAAAAATAAAGTAAAATTCAAAGATATAGAAAATATCCTTAAACTTGATTAATTAGTGCCTGAGATTAGGAATCTCTAAACACTGTATGGTACAGAAAATAAACTGGAAAATAAAAGACTGAAATTTAAAGTGGTGATCCCCAAATCTGACTTTGCTTTGTTGAAGTTGATTGAAGATGCCTTTTCAGAATAAATCTGAATCCTTAAATAACCTTTGAAGAAAACGGTTTGAACCGCCGTCTGGTCGGTTACAGCAACCGCTGTCAACCGACCACCAATTTCTCCTCTATTGACACGTATTACAACTTCCTTCAACCGTTTCCACCAGTCACAGAACTCAGACCTGCCTCTTACCCGACCTGCCTGTCCACTGTCAAATTTCTTTTGCCCGACTTCGTCCTTCGCCCGACCTGCTTCTTCGCCCGACCTCACTTGGCCGACCTCCGCATCAGCCGCCCTCCGTCTTTGACACTTGGCCGACCTCCGCATCAGCCGCCCTCCGTCTTTGACCGAAGACCTCCGCGTCTGTCCGTACCTCTTCCTTGCCCGACCTTCCTCTTGACAGACCTCCGCGTCTGCCCGACCTTCCTCTTGACAGACCTCCGCGTCTGCCCGACTTCGCCTTCCATCCGATCTACGGTTTACCCGACTTGGGTACACCCTTTTTTTTTTAGACTCCGCCCGACCTTTCTTCCTTTTCCCGACCTTTATTCTGCCCGACCTCCAGACCTTTTGGCTTTCATTCAGACCCTACCCAGAATCCTACTGCCACTTACTATTATTATTATTTTTTGTGCTTAACAATATTTATATAACATGTTAGTTTAAATTTGACATATATAAAAAGCATAAAATATATTGTTATGCATTTTTATTGTTTTTTTGGAATTAAAAAGTTACATATTAAAACATTAAAATGTGTATAATTCCACCATCAATTTTCATATTCAGTTTCATATAAAAAGTATATAAGAGTGTATTTATTTGATGTTTTTTGAATTTTAAATTATAAATTTTGATTTAAATAATAATTTACTATGACATTTTGGGTGTGTTTGTTTGGGGGATTGGATTGGATTTATACTATTCATCCAATTTTTTTTCCTCCCCCCCCTCCAAAACATCAAATCAAACACCTATTTTTTATTTTTTATATTATACTAAAAATTAATTTTACATTCAAAATATCACATCAACACCTATTTATATCACATCATACAACTATTCAAATTCAAAATTTTTACTATTCAAATCTCAACTCAAAATCCAAACTATAAAAATTGAATAATAAAAAGTTACTATAACAAAAAAAAATAAAAAATATTAACCCTAAACCTCACATAAATTTAGGCTTTGTTCTTTTATAATAATTAATCCTTCTCTAAAGAAAATGCATGAATATTTCTTTTATTTTATGCTATCAAAATAAATACTCCCTCCGTCCCACGGACCATACCATATACACGTTGTCGTTTCTATCTGTCCCATATACGATAAGAAAAATAATTACACACTTTAATCTCATTTTAAATTTTTTAATTTATTTTTTTAAAATTTTAATTAAACTAATTAATTATTTTAATCTTAATTTATAATTATTTATATTATATGATAATTATTTTCACTATTACATTTTTAATTATTTATTAATTATACTCCTGAGACACGAATATTATCCGTGACAAGCTATCCATCATTACGTAAAAAGTGATTCCACTAGAAAGAACAATAATTCATTGCTCAATATTGCAAACCATCACTTCATCGCACACACATACATGCATATTCATTATTACTCTGTATGAACTAAAATAAAATAATTATTAATATTTTTTACTGTATTATTCCGATTTATTTATACTATTAAATTTTTTAATTTTTTTAAAAAATATCACATTTTATACTAATTTTTTATTCAAAATATTACCTTCAATTATTATTTTCCCTTAAAAAAAAACTATAAATAATAACAAAAAAATAAAAAGGATATCTATATACTTCATTCATCCCAAATCAAAAAGCCCTTATATATAAAATAATGATATTTGTAATAATACGTAGCATTAGTATATAATTATTTTTTAAAAAATATAAAAAAATAATTTAAAATAGAACAGACAAAAATTGTCCTTGAAATATAACAGACAAAAATTGTCTTCCGTCCCAATTGTATTGATACACTCACGAGGACAAAAAAATCTTTTATTTATACTTTTTACCAACTACCAATATAATATTAATATTTTTTAAATTTCGTAACCAATTTAATTAAAATTATATTTATGGGAAAAAGGAGTATATTACAAGTTATTAACCCAAAACACCAACAAGCAGAATACATTCAGACATAATGCATCCATTTATTTTTACTGCTTCAAAAGTTACTGCATATATAATTTTTTATATATATATAGATGTAGTGAGAGAGAAAGAGAGAGGATGGAGCCAAGAAGGTCATATCAAGATGGCAAGTTTGGTTTGTATCACAAATATAGCCAACATTTTTTGGTTTAGGAGTTTGCAGCATTTGCCCCACTCCCCTGTCTATCTCTCTCTGTCTGTCTGATTACACACAGACACACATATACATCTCTCTCTCTATATATATATATATATGTATAGGCAGGCCATGCCCGTTTCTCTGGGATGTGTCTTACATTTCTGCAGCATCCAACCTACGTACAACTTTCTCAATAATGTCATCAAACAAACAATATATACATATATATATATACAGGCTAAATTGTACCAAATCCACCCGTGGCTTCACAAAATTACGCAAAATCTCCCATACTTTCAAAATTGCTACAAACTCCCTTTGTGGTTTCATAAAATCTGCGTCAAACTCTATCGGCCACACTTATTTATCAGTTTTTTACTTGTACGCACTCAAATTGCGAAAGAATTTCAGAATGATCATTTATAAATTTCTAAAGTTATAAATATTTTCATTTATCTTATATTTATATTTGTAATTTCAAGAATTTAGAAATAAAAATTCTAAAATTTATTTGTATTTTGGCGCGTGCAGATCAAACAGCGTTAAATAAGGATGTTTATAAAACCACGAGGGAGTTTGACGCAATTTTAAAAATATGGGGAATTTCGTGCAATTTCGTAAAACCACGTGTGAATTTTATACAATTTAGCCATATATATATATATATTATATATACACACACTCCACCTATTCATATCCACAAGATTAAGAATTCTAACGCAAAATAAAAAAAACAACCCAGATTAAAAATACTAAACAAACATATTCAAATAATTTACACCAAAATATGTGTACAATGGACTATGAAAGCTATGGCAGATCATGTAAAGAAGCCCCAGGGATTTGCCAAGAAAATTAACCTTTAAAGATCAACAAAGATGCAATCTTTGCTTAATGAATTGATGAATTTCTAAGGATCACAGCATGCAAAATGGGCAGAAAACAAAACAGGTAATGAAATCAAATAAGATAAGACAGCTTACACATGTTTTTGTTCGATGCTGTGAACCCGGGGGAGCGACTCCTCGAGTGCTCGGAGCGAGGCCTTGTAATGGTCCAGAGACATCACTCCCTCCTCCACAACTTGGATTGCACTATTGTACAGCTGGTTGAACCATCGGATCCGTTCATGATTGCTACCATCTGTGTCACGATCGCCTCTCTGATCCTGAATATACAGCCGTTTGAAATCCTTTTTCCACCGTGGTAGAATGTATTTCGAAGGGATTTCTTCAACCCCGTTAAAGTTCAGCACACACAGAGCATGCCGGCATAGGTAGCCGTAGAAGTTGAAGCAACTGCAGATGCAACGAACTTCAGCAGTGCCTCGATTGTAGAGAACTTCAAAGTCCCTAATCTCCCTTCTGTTTCCTTCGTTAAGAACCCTTTCCTTGACTATGAATAGCGTGACCGGCCCATCAGTGCGTATCTGAGTCGTGCCGAAACAGGAGTACATCTCCTCGACTTCCAGCTGAAATTTTTGAAACATTGCTTGAGTGTATACTTTGGACAGCTGCAGTTCAAAGGAGCATCTTGTTTTCAGTTCGAGGGAAGAGCTTCTCGACTTCATATCTGCATTTGCTTCTTCTTTATGCTTCTTCTGCAGCGCTAGTTCATATTTGTCTAGAAATTCCTTCAAGGGAGTTTGCTTATGCAAGTACTTGTCGAAAAATGCAGTTAGTGTCTCACCAGGCCGTGCAGCAGCCATTCCCATGAAAAAAGTGTCCTTAAGGTAAACAGGGCACCATTGTGCCCTGTCTTCGTATAATGATCGAAGCCACTCATTGTCAGCGACACCAAAATGCTGGACTGTGAATCCCCAGGCTGCTTCAAAGTCGAATGGTTTTAACACCTCATAAACTCCTTTGAGCAATGCTTTTCTCAAAGCATCGTAGTTGCGTAGTCCCCCTAATTTCTCTGGGATTTTTCTCATTATATGTGACAAGCCGAATCGGTGGTGAGAATTGGGGAAAACACTTGCAACAGCACTCTGCAAAACCTTGCACCTGTCAGTGATAATCGTCTGTGGGGAATTCCCAGCCGAACAAGAAAGCCATGATTTAAAGAGCCAAGTGTAGGATTGCACGGTCTCATCTGCAAGCAGGCCACAACCAAGTAAAACTGATTGACCATGGTGATTATTGCCAACAAATGCCACGAGAGGAGTCTCATACTTGTTTGACAAGAATGTATTATCGAAGAAAACCACATCTCCAAAGTAGCGATTAGAAGCCCTCGATCTGGCATCTGCCCAAAACACATTCCTCAATCTCCCTTCATCATTTAGATCCATCAAGTAAAAGAAACTTGGGTTGGTCAGCTGCATACGGCAGAGGTAATTATACATTGCTTGTGTGTCGCCTTTCTTTAAGTTCAACTGATTGGGCTGTTCGGACAACAGTTTTGCCTGCCTTTGATCGAAATTGGAGTTCCCATCACCGCCATCTATCACAAGGGCACGATACACTTTAACTGGCATTTCAGAATCAGAATTACATAGCAGCTTTCTCTTGCTCCCGCTGCTCATATTCCTCAAGGGCTTATAACCTTGCGCCGCCAACAGGTGGTTATGCTCAAGAGTAACTTCAAGTATCCTCCATCTTTTAGAATCGACTAATCTCAATCTCATCATCGCAGGGCATCCAGTTCGCGTCTCCTTCCGGAGACGGTTAACATCTTTCACTCTTTTGAAGCCCTGGCTACTGCAGCACAGGACGGCCCCATATTTCTCTCGGCTATTTCTTTTGAACCATGAGTTCTTCACTCTCACACTAAATCCAGACTCTCTTGCATAACAGTTATAATAGTTGTATGCATCTTCGTAGGACTCAAATTCCATTCCTACATCAGGAGTAACAAATTCTCTACCTCCCTCGGAAATATTGAATTCAAACTTCCCAGTTTGATCATCTAATGCTGTTTTGCCATCATGAATTTCTGAAGGAGTTTCACCCCCCACTCCATCCATGGCTTGCTCCAAATCCAGAGACATTTCGTCCATACATGTCAGAAATGGTCATGCCACAAAGATACATGCTGAAAAGGCACAAAAAAACCATCTATAGAAACAAAGGTAATCACAATTTCAAGATTTTAACAATGTCCTGCAATTAGCAGGCTCGAATTGAGCAGTGTAAGCTAATCAATACATTAAGATAAGAAATGCTAATTAGTGCATAAAAATCCTAACCAAGGCCACAATTTCGAATTCCTCACCAAAATGCAATTTCTTAACAACACCATCAATTAACGAAAATCCTCATAATCTAAATAAACAAAATATAATCACCCAATAAGCTATACGAACACACAGAGAATGTTGGAAAAACGATTACCCAACCTCGAACCCTTAACCCATGCGTCTGCTCGCAAAATTGCTGCTCTCTTCAGTTCCAGGCTACAGATGCCACACGATTCCGGATCGGACGGCGATTTCCCAGCCGATCTGCCGCGAAACCCTGAAAGGCGATTTGGAAAACCTTGGCGGGTAAGGGTTTCAGGAATGGCGAACTGACGAAGTTAAGTGTAGCAGTTTCACTGAAACCATAGGCTCAATAAAAGCCGAAAAGATGAAAAGGGAAATTACAGATATTTGAAGCACACACTCTCACGAATCCCAACCTCTGTCATGTATTGGTGGCGAATCGGGTCGAGCCGTGCCGGGCTGGGCCAATAATAGTTTGGGATCAAACAGACATGACCGGTTTCAAATCTGGTCTAACTAAGCTCTTTCAGACTATATTTATTTTTACCCAAATTCTTTTATTAATATATTTATAAAATTATTTTTAAAAATCGGGTCGGATAGACTAAGCACAGTCCGATGTTGATGAATCCGAGCACGGCCCAGTTTAGACTCGTGTCGGGCCTAATAAGGTTTGAACTTTTTAAGTTTTTTTTTTTTTTTTTTTAAGTCCAAATACGATTTCTTTGGGGGATGGAAATTTCATGATGTAATTATTTTTTATACAAGCAATGTTGTCGATATTTATATATTTTTAATATTGTATTTTATTAAAATATTATTTTGTAAATAATAAAATTTTATTAAAAATAAAAATAAATCATTTTTTATAGACGAACAAAAACTGAAATAAGTCATTTGTAGCGGACCGAATAAGTATATTTTTCAGGCTGCAGATCGAGTGATCCAATCAAATCAGCATATATTATATACTATTATAGTATATTTAAGCATATATATTTTATAACACAGTTATATAGAAAATATATACTAATTTATATAAATATATATATATATATATGCTAATTCGATCAAACAAATCTAATTTAATTAGGTCAGTACTTTTTTTAGATTAAGTAGTAACCAGAGGGTCTATTAGACTGGTTAATTATTTTAATTTTAATTTATAATTATTTATATTATATGTTTATTAATATATTTTAAATTATTTATTAATTATATTTATTCTAAATTCTATATTTATAATAACTCGTACATCATAAATAGGATGAAGGAAATAGTATATATATACATATATATATATATTCATAGTATGGAAATTATCTGATGTTATGGTGGATTCCATTGTGATTTTTTTATTTTAAGTTTGGATTTGTGATTTTTTATGTAATTAATATTTAATTTAAAATATAATATACGTGCTATATAGAGTAATATTTTAAAAAAATAGTAAAATATTTATTTAGTATTTAAAAAATATATTAATTAATTTAAGATATAATATATATGTTAAAAAATATTTATTTAAATATTTTCAAAATTATATTTTAATAAAAAAATGAAGTACAAATATTATTTTATAAATAATAAAATTTTATATAATAAAAATTAAAAAATTAATTTTCAATATATAATTTATTATATACTACTATAATTTATGATCAAAATATTAACACCAATTTATGATCAACCTTTATCTACAATTTTTGTCACATAATAATAATAATTATTATATTATTATTAATAAAAACAATAAATCTATAAAAGTATTTTGCTAGTGGTTATTAAAATAGTAATGGTCAAAGCGCTTGGACTTATCTCTATCTCATATTTTATATTCAAATAATTTTAAATTAAAATAGATATATATTTCTTTCGTCACATTGAAAAGATGACTCATATTTTTTTTCACTCTATTAGTATTGTATAATATAAAAGTAATAGTATTTATGTAATATATTATAATTTAGAAGATTATTTATTATGTTAAAAATATAGTATAATTACTGAATTATGAAATGATAACCTTATTTTGGAATAGACGAAAATAAAAAGTAACAATATTTCAATGGGACAGAAGGAGTATTCAAATTCTAAAAATCTTCCAAAAATATCTTAAGAAACCCGCCCGTGTGGTTGCGTCCCTCTCCCTTCTTATATAATCTCTCAATTTATAAATATGTCGTAATACTCTTGAGACTTTGAACTTTCTTCATTATCTCATATCCTCTACCATGGTTGTGTTGTGTGCGGCAAGCGACGCATTATTATAGAATAGAAGAATAATTTATTGTTGTTATGATTTGCCATTGATGAACTCTTGACTTCATAATCTTTATGATCTATCTGAAGATTGAGGCGGTGGATGTTTCGTTGCCTATGACTTCTCAACTCGAGTAGCCTGTGGCTAACCTGTAAGTTTTTGGCTTGTTTTTTTGTTTGAATTGAGTAAGTAAATTTTAAATTTTCAAGTAAAATAATATTTGATATAATATTTTTTTTCTTCCATCATATGTATATTTGGTTGTATATAAAATATTTTAATACTTGTTAGATGATCGAACATATTGTTAATGCGTATCTTTTATTTATCTATAGAATTTTATATAATGAACATTAAAAAAATTAATTTTTATATAGTTTAGGCAAAATAGCATAAAACTTCTCTATGATTTTACGAATTCTCTGAAAATCTCTGGATTTCTAAAATTCAAAAAAATGTACTTGTAATTTCAGAAATGTTGCATACTCTCCATCCCTTCAAAATGACACTGACGGCGTTAAACTTTGCACCTGACGGACCATTTTGCCCTTAGTTATATTTTACTTTTTTACTTAGAAATTAGGGTTCACCAAATTGTTTTCACCACACCCGCTCGCACCTGTCTATCCGACGTCTGACGCCCAACACCGTATGCCGCTCGCGCCGACAGCCATCAACTCGTTCCATTTGCATTTTGACCGACAACGCCCAAATTCAATGCTTAAAATATCGGATTTAGGATATCGACTTCCTATTTCAGTAAATTTCTTCTAATGTATGTTTGATTGTTAGTAGAAACACATCTTTGTGCAAAAAAAATAGTTTTAGATTGATTTTTGGTTTCTTGAGCGATGACGCGTGGTCAAATAAAGAGAAACGAACACGTCCATTTCTTGGAAAACTTGTAATATGTTGTCTTTTTGGATCGGGTTACATTATTTCCTCATTTATTGTGTATTTTTTTTTCGTATCTTTGAATGAATTTACTAATTAGGTGGCGTTTGCTTCGTTCTGAAATTCGATTTCTTTGTTGACGCAGAGTTTTTGCACTCAATAGGTTGTGGTCCCCAAAAAATGGACTATTTATACAGCACATATATGTGAGTTGGTGGATATGCTGAGTGGGAGGGCCCATGTCGTCGTTACATGGGTGGTAGGATTGTTTGGTTTTCGGGTATCGACAAGGATCGATTTTATTGCGGTGCTCTCTTAGATATATATGCCCGTGCCGGTGGAAGAACAAGGGTTGTCGAGCTCACACACTGAAATCCCATCAACGGACATGGTGCTAATCTTTGGGGTCCGGTTTATATGATTAGATGCAACGAAGATGAATAGAAAATGTTCAAGATTCATTACGGAAAAAAATGTAATTTTCATATATGCCAATGATAAGGGCTTGTCAATGAAGATATGCAATTGGTACATGTGTGTCATAAGGAATCCAAAAACGGTTGTAAAATATCTGAAATGGCATAGCGAGGTAGGGGAAGTAGCGGTCCGGTTTACCCGCCTGTCGAGCGGGATGAAGAAGGTGAAGATGTTGGTGATGATGATGTAGTGGTCATGGATGAACCTTCGAGTCGTTCACTTCATACTCATCGTTGCTCGACTTCTTAACGCAGGTGTTCACCGGATAAAGTCAACCGAAAAAATCACAAGCTCCGACGCGAAAATTACAAAACAATTTTCTTTGTATTTCCTTCGTTGGACCGATAACACAGATTGTCGCAACAATCCCACACTTGCATTGTGGAAAATAATACCTTGGGTTAAGATCTCCCCGCCCCTGGACTTTGATTTCGAGCCACTAAATTACATCTCTGATGATATTCACAAGTAAATATTAAAATGATTGCAAAAAGACACAAACACATAACTTATTTGCTTCCAAATAAATGATTGGTAATAGATCCTACAAAAAATTTAGTTCTCTTTGAAAAGTGCAATGCAAAAATTACAGTGGCAGGGGTTCCAAGATCGCGGTTCAAGACGAGCTATTCGCAAATTGATTCTAAACAAATATTACAGTATTGCGATCTATAAAATTTCAGTGACAGGAATTTCAATATTCCAAATGAATTATCGAAAATTATTACCTACCTAAATAAATTGAATTTGCTCATCAAATCGATACACCCAGACCGGAAAATGGTAACACAAGATTAATAATATATAAAAACTTATATTTGGAAGATCCTTAACAAAATTGTAATCTCGCTTAACAAAACTCAATATTTCACAACGATCTAAAAGTTACAGAAAAAATCAAACGAGAAAACGAATCACCAAACTTGATTTGAGAAAGAAAATTCGGAAAAGTAAACAAAAATTTATGAAACCCCAACCCTAAAATAGAAATACCCAAAGTTTTTGGAATACCAGCTTTGACCCCCGTAGGGTAAAGGCAACGGTAGGACTTCAATCGGTAACTGTGAGTGTTGACTTTTGTCTGAAAAGAAACACTTTAAAATAAAATAAGGTGAAGGAAATAGTGAGACATATAATAAAACTAGGAGTATTTTAATTACTTTGCAAAGAGATATATCAGCTTTTGAACCAAAAATTGCATTTGAGGCGCGTGACATGTATCCGTTGTTATGTCCTCACAGATGGGGTTTTTCTTGCAATATTTTCGAAATCATAAGTAAGTTTTTGTAATTTTAGAAGCACAGAGAATTTTCAACCCGTAAAATAATATGGGAGTTTTATGCTATTTTGCTCATAATTTATGATAAAAAAAAAAAAAAATATTGACACAATTTATGATCAAAATTTATCTAAAATTTTTGTCACATAATAATAATAATTAATAAAAAAACAATAAATTTACAAAGATATATTCCAAAGTAATTCATTAAAAGGTCAACTATAAAATTGCTTGGACTTATTTCATATATCTCATATTTTATATTCATAGAATTTGAAATGATAATATATATACATATGTATGTATTCAAATTCTAAAATTTTTCAAAAATATCTTAGTAAACTCGCCCGTATGGTCGCACTCTTCTCCCTTCTTATATAATCTCTCAATTTATAAGTGCGTCGTAATACTCTTGAGGTTCTGGACTTTCTTTATTCCTCTCCTTTCCTTTGCTCTCCCCTGGTTGTGTTG